GTTGGCCTGGCTGACTATGATGTGAGTCATGAGCAGGGGTGGGTTCCTGCCAGTTCTAACCTCTTCTATAGAAGAGGTTCCACAAATCTACCATGCCATTTAGAACCGGTTCCAGCTCCCTCCCCCCGCCCGTCCTCACCACGCTTGCCCCACCCGCTGCTCACTGATTGGCTGGCTCACCAATCGCCCCCACCTGCCTCTAAGAGTCCTATCCAAACCTTAAAGTCTTAAAGCTGTCAAGTTTGAATACCCCTTGGTTTTTTTTCTAAAAGGTTGGGGGTGCAAGGGTCTTGTAACTTGACAGCTTTAAGATTTGCACACTTCAATGCCAGAGTTCCTGAGCCAACATGACTGAAGGAGAAATTCTGGGAGTTGAAGTCTACAAGTCTAAAGCTGTCAAGTTTGAACACCGCTGGGTTTTTTTTTCTAAAGGGTTAGGGGTGCAAGGGTCTTGTAACTTGACAGCTTTAAGACCTACATGCTTCAAATGCCAGAATTTCTGAGCCAACATTTTAGTTGCTAAGCAAGAGCCTTGTTAAGTGAGTTTCACTATATTTTACAAGTTGGCCACATCCACCAAGTCACATGACTGCCAAGCCATGCCCACTCGGTCACATGGCTGGCAAGCCACTCCCACCCGGTCACATGGCCAGCAAGCCATTCCCACAAAGCAGGCCACACCTACAGAAGAGGTTCTAAAAAAGTTTGAAACCTACCACTGGTCATGAGGTGGCATTTCGGTCATTGACAAAAGGGCGAACGACAAAACCGCGCCCGACTAAACCGCGTCACTGATGTCATCAACAGGGCGACAACAGCGCAGAGACAGAAGCGCGCTGTAAAAGTAACCCTAACCCTAAACTTAACCCCTAACCCTAAACCTAACCCTAACCCTAATCCTAATCCTAAACCTAACCCTTAACCTAACCCTAACCCTAACCCTAACCCTAACCTTAACCCTTAACCTAACCCTTACCTTAAGTTAAATCGGCTTTCTTTCGACGTGCTATTGTAAAGCGTCCTTCTTTCTCCGCGCTGTCTGTTGTCGCCGCGTTGTTGACGTCAGCGACGCGATTTAGTCGGGCATGGTTTTGATGTTCGCCCGTTTGTCGGGTCACGGGCATTTCTTTCTTTTTTAAATTTTTATTTTATTTTTCCCGTTCAAGTTCATTCACAAGTATACATTTTTATAGTTGCTATTTAATATTTGTATATTCATCACTAGCCTCTATATTTATTTTTACACAAACATATATAATTCAGTTTGGGCCACTTTCTTGCCACCCTTGCCTCCATCTTATTTTGCAACATCCTTACTCCTTCTATCTTCTCAACCTCCCTTCTCTGCCTTCTTCTTTCCTCCTCTCCTTCCTCTTCTTCCCATCTCTTTCCCCTCTCCTCCTCCCTCCTCCTCCTTTTATTCTCTCACCTACTCTAGATTCCCCATCCTTGCTTTCTCTGCTTTATCCTTCCTTCCTCCCTCCTCATCCTCCCTCCTTTCCGTTGTTGCCCTTTACTTTCTCTGATGTGTTCTCGGGGTGGCGTTTCAGCAATCCCAAATTTATGTTTTCATACAAATAATTTTCTCTATTACATTTTATTTCTGATATTAATTCCACTTATGTCATTTTTTTACTTGTTTACTCGCATTTTAATAATTTCTTGTTTCCCCTCCCCCTAATTTGATAATGTGTCATCTGAGATATTTATTTCATGTTTTGTTCCAATGTGGTGGCATTTCTCAGTGGCAGTGTTAGCAGTAGGGCTTAATTAGAGACCCCAGGGTAGTGGCAGATAGCTGAGAGTGCTGAAGGCTGTGTGCTGCTGTGCAGGGTGGCTTAAAGGGCGTAGATCAAGGGACAGATAAGCACGCGGGAAGAGTTGAAGCAGTCCTGTGGTCATAATGGTTGCTGGAGCAGATGAGTGGCTGAGACTTTCCTGGAAACAGCAGCTTTGCACTGCACCATTAGACTGGCTGGTGTGGCTGAGGCCACCAGGAGTGGCAGTGGTTTTGCAACACCCTGCATATCTCCCCAACTTGTACATAGTCTGTGTCCAGCCTCCCACGTCCTCCCTGAGGCACTCCTGTGTGTCTTACTTGGGACTCTGCCCCTCTTAATGTCTCACAATTCTCACTTGACAATGAAGTGCTGGGATTGCAGTCGCTAAGCAAAGTGGTCACATGAAATCTCACTTAATGACTATATAGCTTAGCAGCCAAGATTCCAGGCCCAATTGTAGTTGTAAGTAAAAGACTACTTGTTATATCCTCTCTTTCCAAGTTGGTATAAATGGTGTTTTAAAGCGCCATAAATGAGTCCTAGTCCAACCTTTTAGCAATCCCACATAGTAATTAAACTGGGCGCTGGCTAGCAATTGGGTTTCATGACTAATTACTAAAGGTGCCTTCCTTTATTTTATTTTTAATAAAACAGTGATCTTCTGCCAGACACCTGCATTGTGTCTTCACTGCAGTGCAACAGTTCTGTCTTATGGAACTTTCCTTTGCATAAACCAGCTTGCTAAATGGAGTTATCCCTACGGGGCTTGTTTTAAATTATAGAGAATAGGTGCATAGGACTTCAATCAAACACACACATACAGATCAGTATTTCCTTTGCTGGATCCATTTAATAAACAGCAGGTTCCCATCTGGGAAAGTAAGATGCTTTTCCTATAACACTATTTCTAGTACAGTTTTACCAAAACAGTAATAAAATCCAGGCTAGGTCCTTATCAATCAGTCTTTCAGTGCATATTCAAGAAAATATTGACGTATAAAGTGTCTTGAAACATAAATTATCTTGGCAGATGTGATACCTGTAAACCATATTCTATATTCTGTTTTATTTCCTGGCCTTGCAATAGGGCTTTTTCTTTCTTACTTACTTCCTTTTTTTTTTGATGGCTTAAAAATTCTGCATAACTACTTTGACCTGCAAAATGAAGAGGAAAGGAGAAGCCATATTATCCTCCAGCCTTTCTTCTTTCTTCTTCTTATGGTTGAAAACACTAGATTTTTCTTTTCCAACAATACTGATAACATTTACATGATTATTTCTAACCGCTTATATAGTTCTTCCTTTTCTCATCCTGCACGTGAGGATCTTTATCATTTTTCAACTTATCAAGCAGATGCCAATTGCAAGTGGATGCCCAAGAAACGAAGGAGCCATTTGAGAGCATTATTTACTTTACTGACTAATGCTGTCTTTTGTTAGCTAATTCTTAGCAGCTAATCCATGACCTGAGGCCACCAGGAAAAGATTTTGGTTGTGACTCAGCAGTTATTTATAATTTGGAAGGATTTAGGGATTTTCGTAGGGTGCAGGCAGAATCAAATATGTTCCTTGCTCCAGCTTAATACATGCAAACCTTTACATGGACCTTCCATTATTGTGAAAATGACTGCCAAATTTAGGGACATTTTCTTATGTCTGTATGTTAGAAATTCTGTTTACATAAAGCACCATACGGAACAAACAAAGAGTACAGTCACCATGTGCTTTACTGCTCCACTACTTAAATGTAACATGAAACAGAAAACTCTACTTAGAACAAAAGGACATAGTGTATATACCATAGATCCAAACTTGTAAATACTACAATCTACTGGCTATACATTTCAACAATGAATTCCAACACTGTAATCCACATTCTGATGCAAATTTCTCAGAGTAATATCCAAGTCTGCAGGACCAGTGAGGGTTAGGGAATCAAAATAATTGAGAGCATAACATTGCAAGGTAAAGTCTACTTGGAATCAGATATTGCTTCTAAATAGTCCTGAAATCTCAGTTGAGTTATATGCATATGATGTGGACATGGATATTTTCTATCCATGTCCAAATGTTTCTAAACATTTCTGAAATGTCATTTCTATTCATGATCATTGGATGCTAAGGCGGTTATAGGGTGGACATGGCTTGGAAAGCTAAACAATGTAGTACTAAACCTAGGAGAACAGAATAATGAGATACAGATAATAAATGTCAGAGACAAATAATTAGAGCTTGAATTAATTTGTGATTAGACTTTGTGTCTGAGTCATAAACAATAAAGGGCATTGCCTGGAGGTCAACCATTCTTCCAGAAACGAGAAATGATTTATAGCTCTGTCTCTCTGAGCCAGTTTGGTGTAGTGGTTAAGATGCTGTACTGGTAGTTGGGAGAATGTGATTGTATTCCTTAGGCTCAGAGCCTGGATGGATTTGTAGATTTGTAGATTTATTTATTTATAGGCCGCCCTTTTCCCTGAGGGGACTCAGGGCGGCTTACAATCAAAAAAGGAAGGGGAGTGTAGGACAATACCAAAAAGAAATGTGCACAAAGTAAATTAGACAATAAAACTCAACATTCACTCAGCATTCGGGAGGGGCGAAAATAAGATTATCCCCAGGCCTGACGGGCTAGCCAGTTCTTGAGCTGGGTTGGTCACCCTCTTTCAGCTTTAGACTGGGAAGTTGAAAAACACTTATCTATCAACCTGCACTGGACCAGCATGCTAGAGGACTTTCATCCTGTAGTGCAGTTTTTCCAAACTGAAAGCTTTAAGATTATGGAATTCAGCTCCCAGAATTCTCCAGCCAGCATGCAAGGATCAATTACATTTTATAAGCATAAAATGTAGAAAACAAGAAAGCCAAGAAGGATACAATTATTAAAACAGACTTCCCAACATAATAATGGATTTTCTGCCTAGTCATTTTATTTGTATTAGCTATTTTAATTGACTTTAAAACAATGGAATCCATTTCATGATACTTCTGTATATGTGTTGCTTTAAATTAATCTTTCAAGGTTCATTTTTCCAGTACCAACATGAGAAATTTAAAGTTGCTTTCTTCGCTAGAATGTAAAGGAACAAAAATCATAAAAAAACTTCCTCCTTTAAACTAAATCCAGACTATTTGGTTGAAGATTATGTAATCTTATGAAGTGCTTATCTGGAACTCAAATATATCTCACAGCATTCCACTGAAATATGACAAATTACTCACCAAGATTGGTGTTTTAGATATGAATCCCTCAATCCTCCTTGCCCGCTAGATGAGGAGACTAAACTGGTGTAGTATTCCTTAACAAATCTAGATTTACCTGTAACAAATAAAAACACAATCTATAACCAATCATTGAATGTAATCAAATAGATTGTGATCTATAGGTACCTGTTGAGTATAAAGTTAAAGATATTTTCATTTGATCATTGTCAGAATGAATTTAGAAGGATAGAATGATCATGTCCACCTGTACTTTTACAACAAGATAAGATTTCCCCAAATTTCATATAAAATGAATGTAGAGATATGTTTTCCAGAACCAGTATATTTTTACTAGGACTGATAGCAGACTAGCCAGAATGATACTAATTTCAGGATTCCCATATAACATTTAACCATACAGCTATTTAGATTAGTGTGGAACATGAAGTGAGAAAAAACTTTCTGGCTGACTTTTATTGTCACAGTGGTAAAAAGATAGAGGACTCATCACCCATGAGTCAACTGAATATCTTGACCATTTAAAGGGGGAGAGATGTAGGATATGATATGATAGCTTTATTGATTAGCCTATAGACCATATCAAAATACAAGGTTCAAACAAATATCACTAATAAAATCTTACACAAACAATTTAAAATAAGAATAAGATAAAATACAATAGTTGTAGGACAAGGTACAATATAATTTAATACATAAATATATAAAATAGAATCAAATGACATAACATTATATTTTGGTGTCATCCTTACAATCTGCAAGCCATCTTTTCTTTTGGACTTCAGGCCTGCCACACTTTCTACTATTCATTTTCTATTGTGGGAAAATGGAAGGGGGGAATTATACAGAGTTGAGTGATATGTAACCATAATAACATTCTTTCTAGAAAGCCAAGGTCATCCTTTGTCTCTGCACCTGGCCAGAACTGGATGGGTAGAAACTGACAGCATGGCAGTGGAAGATTGGACCATGTGTTGGACTTGTGGGGGCAGGATCTTGAACTTTCAACTGGGAGGGAAACCTTGGAATCTTTCAGATTCGGGTTTTCCCAGATGTGCCAACATGGCTCTCTTAATAAATTGGAACTTTGAAGAATCCTTTGCCTCGGATTCTGATTTACTTTTGGATGCTATTTAGAACCCTGACATTACCCCAATCAGTCCTATGTATGTAGATCTCAACGAAACCATTTTGTTTTAAGTACTGTGCTGTGTTATGTGTTATGTGTTATTTTCAGGTTCTGGCCACACATAAAGTAAGTTGTTTTGATATGGGGATCCCAATGGGTCATTTGTTTGGTATATGAATCATGGTACCTGTCTCTCACCCTCTTATACAAGCAACAATCAAATAGGATATGAACCAGGTCTTCTACCGTAAATGCAGAGACTCTCATTGTAGGGTATAGAGTGAAATCTCCCGTATCTGACCATTGTGTCAAGCTGTTTGAATCTCATTAACATAAATAGGGAGATATATAGCAGGAAATATGGAACAAAGGAGAAACAATGTTGTTTCCTCCTTTAAAGCTATCTCACCTTTCCATGTGGAGTATAGTAGTTGGCACAGGCAGCCATAAAATAGCAGTGTAAAGAAAATTCAGCCTAGTAAAGTACAGGAGAAGAAGAGAAGATACCAGCTAGTACAAAAACAGATTTGACAATGGCTGCAGGAGCAGTGAGAAGGCAGAAAGGACAGGAAGGCTAAATGAAACACAGGGGCTGAATGGGAAGAGGTGAAAAAGCCCAGGGAAATACCAGCAACACCTTCTCCTTTCTCTCATGACAGCCACAGCAATAAAGCCAATCTGGATCAAGCCAGCATAGCCAGCCTAGCTAAGTCAGTAAAGTCAGCTGTACCAATTCAGCAAAAATCAGAGCAGTACATAAACTACAGGAAGTAAAAGGGACAGAACCAGCCCCAGAAGCTGATATCTTCCACCCATAAGTTAGGAAATAAATACAGCAGTGGAACAATATATAAAATAGAATCAAATGACATAACTGTTACTGGAACAATTCCAGTAACAGCCAGAAACACAAGTCATGCAACAGCAGCAACCTTGCAATGCCAGTGATGGACAGGGACTCTGCAGAAACAGAAAAGGTCAAAAAAGAGGGAATCAAAGATTGATAAGGTGCATGAGACTTGGGTAGGGAAGGAAACAAGTCATCTCCTCCCCATCCACATAGACCAGAGGTGGTATTCAGCAGGTTCTGACTGATTCTGGAGATCCGGTAGCGGAAATTTTGAGTAGTTCAGAGAACCGGCAAATACCACCTCTGATTGGCCCCGCCACTGATCTATTCACTGCTTCCTGAGTCACAGCTGATCGGAGTCACAGCTGATCGGCTGGGTCTTCTTTTGTTGCCCTGCACAAGAGAACGGAGCTGGAAAGCAGGTTAGTGGGGTGGGGATGGGGATTTTACAGTATCCTTCCCCTAGAGTGGGGTGGAAATGGAGATTTTGCAGTATCCTTCCCCCAGGAGTGGGGAGGGAATGGATATTTTACAGTATCCTTCCCCTGGTATGCCCACCAAGCCATGCCATGCCCATCAAGCCATGCCTACAGAACTGGTAGTAAAAAAAAGTTGAATCCCACTACTGACATAAACCACAGATATACAGTAAGTGCATAGCATAAGAAAAGAATGAAATATATAATACAGGTAGTCCTTGACTCACAGCCGCAACTGAGTCCAAAATTTACATTACTAAGCAAGACTGTTGTTAAGAGAGTTTTGGCCCATTTTACAACTTTTTTTTTGGCCACAATTGTTAAGTGAATCACTGCAAATGTTAAGTGAATCATGTGGTTGTCAAGCAAATCTGGCTTCCCCCATTGACTTTGTTTCTCAGAAGCTGGTTGGGAAAGTGATGACATGACCCCGAGATACCATGTCTCAGGGTGAGACAGGGCAACTGTCATAAATACATGCCAGTCACTAAGTGCTCAAATTTTGATCATGTGACCATGGGGGATGCTGCAATGGTCATAAGTGTGAAAACTGGTCATAAGTCACTTTTTTCAGTGCTGTTGTAACTTCAAGTGGTTACTAAACAAACGGTTGTAAGACTACCTGTAAAAGTATGAGTATACAAGCTTTGAACAAATAAATAAAATCAATTAAGTAATCAAGGAACATAGAATAAGAAAAAGAAAGACAGGGTTCAAGAAGGATAGCAATCAACATATAGGTTAAGAATAAGAAAAAATAAAAATAAAACTAGAGAAAAGTAATAATTCTGGACAATATAGACTGATTAGATAGCAAGTAGAAACATACTGTCTGTGCACTGAATCATCTGCAAAATTGGCGATACAACTACATAGGAATGCAGCATACACCATATTACCAATTCATTGGTTAAGAATCTTAAAGGATATTTTATCTCTTATGATGAGACAACAGATGCTTTTCAAGTTTGTTTTATTTGATGTCACATATATACTTACGAGTATCACATTATGTTGCAAATGAAGAGAGGATGCCGACAGATTTATTTATTTTCTTAGTGTTTTTGTACTTCTGTACTTGTAGACCAGAGCTGGTATGTTCAGCTGGTTCTGACCAGTTCTGGAGAACCAGTAGTGGAAATTTTGAGTAGTTCAGAGAAAAGGTTGGAAATAATATCAAGCCATAACTAGACCAATAATAACCTGACTACAATAACTATCTTCTCCATCTTCAGATATGAGCTTGTTTTATTATTCCCCTGTTTTGGTTCACAATTCCTTAAACTGTAAACATATATTGGAAAGAGATATAGAGTTCAAAAGTGTTCATGTTCTTTGTAATTTTGGTGATATGTAAACAAACAATAAAATGCAATACGATATGTCAAATATTTAGAATTTATCAATGGATGAAAAACATTGTTTTTATTGACCACAGGGGGTAGCATAGAAGATGGTTCGGCTTTGATGCAAAGACAGTGCTACCCCAGATATTCCACCTCACACTGGCAATATGTGTTCATTCTCTGATTACAGATTGGCTCCCTATTGATATAATGGAAAGATTGACAAGTATTACTCAGGAGGCTTAGATATGCTGTGTTTAATCAGATATATAGAAAACATCTCAGATTTCAAAGACGGGTATCAGAAATCTAGTACAGAAATCTGGACGGGTATCAGATAGCAACAAGAACAACAACAGCATAAAAAGGGTTCAGATTTTTCAGCCCAAATATGAAAGTCCAAGGAAGAGAAAGTGGCTGTTTCTTTCTTGATTAAGTGATGTGCAAGTTCAAAATGTCAGTTTGATAATCAAGGACTTGCCTCCCAATTATTTCAGACTATTCTTTGGAGGGTAACATTGTATGGAAGAGTGTGTATCTCATACAGCAATTTGGAACTGAAAGTAAAGTCCACAACATCTGGCAGTTGACAAATTCTTCATTCTTGAGTTACACTTCTTTAATTTTCCTTTTTCATCCCATCAGGGAACACAAGACAACAAACAACACATTTTTTCTGCCCTTTCACATGCTTTGTAATAAATTATAGTACACATCAGTAACAACAACAATTATTATTATGATTTCCCAAATTAATTAAGGAAAACATGACACTACTGCCAAAAGTTCAAAGGATGTATTGGTATTGTGTAAAAAAAAAAAGCAACAAGTGAATGGAAGCAGTTAGTAAGAAAACAATTGCCATCAATGCCCTCTGGCCCTTCTTGTAAATGTAATAACATGAATTTTATGCCAGTCAGATCCATTATGGAAGAACTCGATGATATTTTTCCATCAGTGCAAAGCTGCAATATTAATTAACTGTTGCATCCATCACAATTAAAAACACATTAGGCCTTTATGAACATCCTATTATGCTATGGAATCTTCCATAGAAACCTCAGATAGTCGATACAATGGAGGAAAAGAAAATAACTTCACTTTCATTACATAATTGAAATTTAGTCCAGAATGTCTCATTCTCCTTCCTTAACCCCATCTTCATTTTGGAGATAAGCATGACTATATTCCCAGTACCAGAAGGGATGCTGTCTCATCAACAGTAATAAACAGAAGGATTTGCTTAGTTTCAGCCAGGAATTTACCACTGCCAATTCAGATACAGAATCTGTT